GTGACTTTTCTCTACCTCATCCTGCATTCACAAGCACACACATTGTGGAATTGGGAAATAACTTTCTTTAGAAGTCAATTAGTAATTTAGATGACCCTTCAGTCCACCCGTGCGATTACACACAGACCCCATCAACCAGGTCCCCACTAATACAGCGAGGCTGTTGTAAAAAAAAACAAAAATGTTCAGTCTCTTTTTCTCTGGACCTCTTGTTCTTTCCAAAGTATTTTACTTATCTCACATATTTCACTTTTTTGTTGTTGTGAATAACAATAACATTCAGTCTAGAAAAGTCCCAAGGCCTCGCTGTATTATGCATACTGCATCAAGGCATTTTGTGGTAGTGATACATATAAATGTAATGTTTAAAATATTACAGGGACCTCTGGTTTGAGGGTCAAAGGGCAATAACATATAAATGTAATGTTTAAAATATTACAGGGACCTCTGGTTTGAGGGTCAAAGGGCAATAACATATAAATGTAATGTTTAAAATATTACAGGGACCTCTGGTTTGAGGGTCAAAGGGCAATAACATATAAATGTAATGTTTAAAATATTACAGGGACCTCTGGTTTGAAGGTCAAAGGGCAATAACCAGAGGTCCCTGTAATATTTTAAACATTACATTTATATGTATCACTACCACAAAATGCCTTGATACAGTATGCATAACTAACATCTTTTTAAATAATACTATCATACGCCATATTTTGCAAAATTTTATAATCTCAAGTGAGATCTAAAGATGTAACTACATCAAATGATCTTGACGCAATGAATTGTAGACAGTGAATGGTGTTTGAACGGCCCATGCAAGATGATTTTTCTGACCTCGTATTCTAAAAAATGGCGGGCTTTGGTTCCGAGCCAGGCAGTCTTGATTCAGCTTTAATCGACAGTGGATACGTTTATACTTCTGAGGGCGGGATACAAGATGGCGGGAGCAGTGAGGTGCAGTTCTCATTTGGGGCGGCAGTACATTTCTTCATCTTTTGCGATTAGGCAGTCAAGTAGAGCCCCCTTGTGGACATTCAACAAAACTGTTCTGACCAGAGGATGAGGGGAGCATAAGCATATGCTAAACCCAAGGTGGGGACTTTACTTAGATGGAGGGACAGATAGAGTGGATAGCCTTACACCAGTGATTGGTGGAAGTCAGGTCTGAAAACTGGTAGAAGGGGATCAGTCTGTGGAGCTCTGCCTCCCTCTACTGGTGTATTTCAATATTGCGCTTTCACGTAATTCTCACTACTCTAAAGTAAGGTATTTTTAAATTAAGGTTTTCCAAGCAAATTAAAAAATTATTAAATGTATGCTTGTAATATAATATAATATAAGCAATTGGTACAATTTGGGGATTTTTATAAAATACATATTGTAAAAAAGAAAGCAGTTTATTTTTGAATTATTAATGAAAGAAACTCAATATGCCGCCAGTTGGTAACTATCAAACCACACTGTCATTACTCCAGATGTTTCTGCATCTGTTTGTGGGTAGACGTACCAGCATCTGGTTTATGTTTTGAGTGAGAAAGAACAATAAAAAAAGAATAAATTCTGGAATAACTTATAGGAAATTGTGTGATTTACACAGACATTTATAAGCAACACATTAATGCAAGTATGCAGTTTTTTCTTCTTTTGCGTGCATTAATAAAAAAAAAAAAGGACTGTAATTGGGAAGACATGTCTCTAAAACGTATTTCCGTACACGTGTTTACAATTTTCTTTTGTCAGTTCTGAGGATTTAGCAGAGCATCATAATCATGTGATCAAATTCAACTGCGATAGAGCATCATGTGGTCAAAATCAACTGTGATTTACCAACTTGTTGATCGCACGCACTTGGACTGTGTCACAGGGTGCAATAGAGAAAGAAAAAAATCCAGAAAGTAATTGCAGATGAAGAACTGAAACCAACAGCCCCGAAGGGAGGTGAGGTGTATTTGATGTCCACTTTCCATTCCTTGTGCTACACAACAAGAGTGCTAAACAAGTCTTTTCCGTCTCAGCTGGCATTTTTAAGGGGCTCTCGAGCAAACGGGTTACTGTCAAAATGCAATGAGACAATGATATTCCCCCAAGACGAGGAAAATTGTCCTCTTTTCCTCTACAGTCTTGATGAAGTAAATGAAATAAACAGATTCCATTGTTTAACCTTCCAAACTATGAGAGCACAGCTAAAGTGCAGTTTTGGCTAGAAAACTCTGTGGTCAAAAACACTTAACAAAAGCATCTGATGGGGTGTTTTTTTCTCTTCCCTTTGAGTTCCTCCCTTCCATTCTCTTTGAATATCATCCATAATTTTCTCTTGGCTGCACATTTTTATAGGAACATGGTCTTTATCTACAAGTGGCCTGGAACATGGGTTCGAATAGAAGATTTCAATTATATCTGCCATTCTTTTGGCTTGTGCATGTATATAAAAGAAAAACAAAATAAAATCAAAACTCAATACATCAATAAGAAAGGATTAACATTTCCTTTAAGAGGGGAAGAAAGAGGATGTTTCAAGTGCAAATTGTGCTACTCATAAGTCATCAATAACCAAAGGGAGGTGTATATTCTTATAATGCATCATCTCCAACATCCACTTTCCCAAATACAGCTAGATTTGCTTCATCGAACATCATGTCAAGCGCAATGCTTGGATAAGCTGGAGGACACACCTAAAGAAACACACATAACAAGGTCTTGCAAATCATCAAAAAGGTCAACTGCAACCATCATGCTCCCCAGCAGCACTGTTCATTTCAGGACTGAATGCATAGTGACATTCAAAATGGTAATGGATGCCAGATTAATAACATGAATCCAAAACCAAACTATATAACATTCTGGTTTGAGTTTCCATCCCATTAGTAAAACCTGAGATCTGCTGCAACCATCAAATACAAACGGAAGCAGAATCTTCTGAATAGGCTGTGCACTTTGATCTCTGCACTAGCCAAAGACAGAGGCTCATACACATGTCCACCCATTGAAGCTTATGATATTGCACAGCTAATTCCCCACCTTCTTCTATCCTGTCCAATGTCCTCTGCCTACTGCCACTAGAGAGAGCAGGTTTTCATTCAGAATGGTGTATAACAAGTTTCTACGGAAGTTCTAAGCGGCCATGCAATATAATTTTTTTCTTCTCGTTTTCTCGTTATAACGACTTAATTTTCTCGTGATCTCGACATAATGAAAGTTGTTTTCTCGTTATAACGACTTAATTTTCTCGTTATCTCGACAAAGGTTATTATTATTTTTTTAACAATGATTGTTTGATCTACTGTTGTTATAGTAACGAACTCAACTTTGGCACGCATCTGATGGACAGATAAACCATGCGCTCTTACTGTAGCCTAGGTCGTGGATATTTCAGCAAATTTTGCTTCGCCTAGTAATAACGTCTACAATACAAAAATAAAGGCTGATCAATCACGGTTGATATTTCCAGAGACAGTACGCTAAACATTTTGTTTGTGTAATTAGCATGTTTAAATGGTCAAAGCAACACCGCAAACACAGGCGGAGCGCCTTCAGGATGCAGAACTATTCTAAAATCTTTTAGAGCTGCTTGGATTCAACTCACTTTTAATTTTCATTTTATTTAGTAGTAGTCATTATATGCTGTGACTGATATCATGTGCGTTATAAGCTTCTGTTTGAAAAGAGCGTTCATGTGTAGCTATGTGTATATGTAAGTTTCTGTTGTTTTCACGTTCTGAATATCTGGTTGTAAGCTTGATTGTTGAAAGTTGCACTGTGTACAATGCATATAATAATAGAAACAATGGCACTAAGTTAAAGTAGTGATTGTCATGATGCAGTTATTTAATGGGTAGTTCACCCAAAAATGAAATGTATTTTATAATTCACTTACCTTTATATAGTTCCATACCGGTATGACGTTCTTTGTTATGTGGAACACAAAATAAAACTTTAAAGTTGCTTGAACTTAACTGACTTTCAAAATGTCTTATTTTGCTGGTAAACTATCTTGGACCAACAACAATCCAGCTAGAACACCTAATGACCAGTTAATGAGCATCTAAAACCAGCTAGAAACCACATTACCATCTTAAAATGGATTTTCCAGCACAGTCTGTAACTTGCCAGATTATTGCTTAGTTGTATACAGCCTACAAAATATTCAACTACTTTTAGGAGAGTCGAGGTTTAAAGGTAACTTCTTGTCAGGAAGTTTCGCCTCACGCAACAGATCTGATTTGGCGCCATAACGACAGGAACATGTTTCTAAGGACTTTTTAAAGAAAACACTGCACTGATATACATGTAACAGCGATAAATAATCACATACTTGTACTTATTATTAGCACGTTTTGTCGATATATATATATCGCCCGATTCGGATTCTAAAATAAAGCGCTCGAGCAACCTACTGTTGCTATGGTTACCGCGTCAGATTAACGCGAGATTCGACTTCTCGAGCACCTACTTTTGCGCGATTTTGTACTTGTAATCCCAACTTTTGAACCTAGACATGCATACTGTGTAACAAGAAGAGATCTATACGTTTGAATGTTGAATTCAGTCGAGAAGGTTCACGCCTTAATTAGGGGGCTCAGACCTCCCCAAACTCCCTCATAATTCGCACCCTCGTTACAAAGCTCCGATTGGTGACCCATGCCTGCCATCTACAGCGATGAGAGAAACTACAGGCATCATTTACTGAAAGGAATTGTAGTCTGCCAAAGCAGAACACTTTATAAACCCTGGGCTTTCACTTTTTTTGTGTCTTACAAAAAGTAAACAAGGTCTTCCCAACAGACCGTGCGACTATTATTATTATTAAAAGAAGTTATTATTTCGAATCCGATTTCAGTCCATGTCTCATCAATCACTCTGACATTGAGCGCAATGCATCACAAAAAGGCGGAGATGTCACTCAACCGTGCCCGTAAAGGTGGGCGGACTGGAGTGTCCCCCCCTCTGCCAATGGCAAAGCACCGACACAAGACCCAAAGCCCCTCAAATCAGCCGTCAGCCCGCGGCGGGGAGCACACTCTGAATGAGCCCGTATCGCGCAGGAGATGACGGCTCGTGTCTCCGCGCCCGCAGCTCACCGAGCAGCAGCGTAACGACAAAACCTCAGAAGTTCGCTTTCTCCACGCGCTCTCTTCAATGTCACCATGCGCAGCATCTCATCCTGCGGTGCACTGCTGTCAGTCTACTACCCCCAGATCTTCCTCATCCTCACCAGCGGCAGCTACCTGTAGGTTTGAACTAACCTTACTGCTTTCATTTTTATTCTGACCTATATCCTGTCGGCGTTTTGGGCACAACAGTCAAGCGCAATTAACGTTAAATTAAAGGGATTGTCGCTATTGCATTGCAAGATTAGACAGTCGATATGAATGGTTTTTGAGTGCAAACAAATCATTATTTCCACACATGTTGGAAATGGCATTATTTAGTGCACCTGCTGTGTTACACGATGAGACTGAGCATGTGCATGTACTTTAATTATGTTTTAAGCCATTTTGTGCTTGAGAAAGAAGCAAATGCTGAATTGTGCGTAATAATATAACGAGCCATTCAGCATTATACTACTTTATATATTTTATAAAAAATAAAAAAAAGACTAATAATGTATCAGAATCCATTCATTGTAAAAAAAAATTGTCCTAATTTAAAAGAAAACTAAAATAAAATGGTGCAGTAAAAACATGTTAATTAACTGTAAGTGTAATTAACACACTAAATGTCATTTACTGTAAAATACTGTACAATTGTGGTTTTCAGAAGTAAAATGTATTAATTACCATACTTATCTCCTAACAAAATCTATTACATTCAACACTACATGTTCTTTTACTTTAAAACGTTGACGTTAATTAAAAAGGTATGGCCAAGTGTATGGAGTAAATTCCCACAAATGTTATTATCTTAAATAGTTATTTTTATTGGTTTTGGTAACAGTTATGCACAGTACGGTTGATTAGTTCATGTTTATTGCATTTTAAGTGTCTTGTGTTGCACTGGTGTTTGTTTTTGTGTGGGTAACCTGCATGTTTATTAGCCATTGCTGGTGAAAAGGCAAGTTCTGATGAATTTTTAGTCATTATCTGCCTTTACCATCTGTATTATTATGGCGTTTAATAGTATATTTTGAGATACAAAAGATTTTAGTAGTTCAAGAAGGTTATATCAGTTAGTTACACAATAGTTATAAACTTTACATTAAACTATATACAGGCAGCAAAAAACCTCCCAAAACAGTATTTTTTACGGTGAAGTTCTTAATGCAATTAATTATTCAAATGAGCAGATTTCCAGTTATATACTATTCATACCACCCAGTTATAGACTAAACTTGTCATGCCAGTACAAACCAGTTCATTCAGTCAGAATTGATGAGATTACCTTTCATTCATTTGCTGTGAGAGTGTGAGGATAATGTTTTACTCGTTACAACATCCTGTTCTGATCTCAAACTCTTGTAATTGGAAAACAGCATTTGGGAAAAAAAACAGGGTAAGATGTGCGAGATGTGGTTAGAAAAGAGTGAACCTTTTATTAGCACTAAAGTTTAGACTGTGGCGAAATTACTGAGCCACACATTTCAAGCGTATGCGTAGACCATAAATGTACTTTAAACAGATTCTGGTCAGAAGTGGTCATCATTACTTAAAGCTTTGACTTTGACTTTCCTTTGACCGAGGAAGAGGAGGGAGACTAAAATACCATGTCAACAGAATGTTTTGTTACAGAAGTGCTTGTCTTTCTAAATTGTCAAATTTAGTTCATTGGGTAGCCTGTAGACTAGTTAAATCCCAAAATGTTCTTCATGGATTTTCCTCAGACCAGACCTATGAAGACCAAAAGAAATCTGCTGAATTCCATTTAAAAAGCCTTTTAAAGTTTCCCTGTATTTTCAGATGCTATTAAATAGCATTCTTATTACAAGAACGAGAATGCTAAACTGTTATTATGACTGATGAATGGACACACTTTCTTGGCTCAAATGTGTTTATTCCAAATTCGTATCAGGACATTAGTTGTATTGCTCTAAAATGGGACTTCATCTTTCAATCATTAGTACTAACATCTCCCACTGTGTCAGGAATAGTTTAATCCATTAAAATAGCGTAATATATTTCTGGAGAGTATTCTCTAAATTGTTAGTCAATAGACTAACACTGGGGTTCACTTTGTTTAAGAACAGCAGAACAGACGGCTTGATTTACAAGAGTAATCCACATTTGTGTGTGGTTTCACTTTAATTGGGCTATATATTCTGTGATCGCATTGTTGTATGTGGTTTTTGTCTGTAGAATAGTCTACGGTTGGCCTGCTGATCTGTTTAGACATTATTTGGGACCCCCTTTGCGTTTTAAATCAAGTTCATGTTGCCTGTAAAAGCCTTGATTCATGAACTTTGTGTTGTTTGTTGTTCTGTTTTAAATGAGTCATGAGATGCTCTTAAATTCTTTCATTATAGTAAAGGCAATCCTTTAAATGTTTCCTGTGGTGTATTGAAAAAGATGGAAATGTCTGTGAGGAAACTGTCTGGCAGAGTGCAGTTAAATCATCAGGGTATTTGAAGGATTTATACAAACTATAAATATATCTTCTAAAACACTAAGCATCTTAAATAGTTGCAGTCCACTAACCGAGAAAATGAAATGCTGAAGAGATTTCAGAGGAGAATTCTCTCATTTACTCACTCTCATGTTGTTCTTTCTTCTGTAAGAAACACAAAAGGTGATATTTTAAAGAATGTTCTAACTGCTTTTGTTCATGCAGTGAAAGTCAATGGGGTCCAAAACAGCATTGGACCCCATTGATTTTTTTGTTATACAGGTTTAAAACGACATGAGGTGAGTAAATGATGACAGAATTTCCATTTTTGGGTGAACTGTCCCCATTTCTTGAATACCTGGTCTATATCAGCTGCTGACATCAGTGTATCTGGTCTCCTCCAAAGGGCTTTGTCTTCAGTCGTGGCTTTGGGCGCGAACATCATCTGCAACAAGATCCCCGGCCTGGCCCCCCGACAGCGTGCCATCTGCCAGAGCCGCCCAGATGCCATCATCGTCATCGGGGAGGGCGCTCAGCTGGGCATCAACGAGTGCCAGTATCAGTTTCGCTATGGACGGTGGAACTGCTCTGCCCTTGGCGAGAGGACCGTCTTTGGGCAAGAGCTGAGAGTAGGTCAGTAGGTGCAGCCCCGTGAGCTGTGCTTGTGTGTGTGTGCACGCGTTGCTATGGTTGCGATTTGTTTCCGTGAGAGTGTGGCCCTGCGAAACAAGTGAGACGACAAGAGGTTAAAGTGGACTCAATCTGTCCACAATTACTTGAAAAAATCTTTCAACGAAACATTTGCACAGTTACAAACACATGCAAATGGCACCAGTGACTTTGTGAGAACCCCAACCAGGAGAGCACACAGTAATAGGGTTTTTTTAATATAGCACTCCCTTATAAATTGCCTTTCAGTCAGAAATGTTTTGTTACGTTCAGGGTGCGGTGCGAGGCTGTGTTTAATCCAATGGTCCTGGTAACAATCACTCTTTTGGGGGTTGGTTGGCTCTACACAACATAATCTTATTTCTTTTGTTCGAGGAAATGTATGTTTCCCGGCGAGCTCTATATGTGGGTCCTAATGCGTATGAAGCTTTTTATGTTCTGTTGCGCAAATTGCTTGTGTGAGAGACAGAAAAGTCATTGTATTGTATAACTGTAGCAGAAAAGTTGAGTTTTATATGCAATATCTAGGAACGGATGGAATCTACAGACTATTTACTCAATTTCTGCACCAATTTTGACTCTAAACTAGATTTAAACATTGAGTGTGCTATACTTTTATTGCCAGTTAAAAGCGTAATCAAATTAACTAAAATATTTAACAAACAAACATAAGACGCATGTCACACTAAAGCTACAGTAGAGAAAATCTTCTAAAATGCTTTGCTTTTGATCTAATTTCATAATTCTCAAAATTGAATTTTCGAATGGGTCTTTTAGGATTAACTGTAAGTTCTTTAATAGCCATTGTGAAATTTACTGAAAGGCCAATGGGTTTTCCCACAAAATCCGTTAGAATAACAGTAGTTAAAATTCACCAGTAGATCCAGGCACACATTACTTGTCAAATTATACAAAGACTTTGTAGCATTCAGATCTCTTGGCTAAAGGGAAAGATCCTGTGCTCAGTCAAACCTGATGATCAGTAATAGGACTTCGGCTTTAGCTATGAGAAAAACCACAACGCTAATGGTCTTTTCCATTTTGCAGGATGGAGAGGGTAATCACTGTTGCCTTTACAAGATTCACTGCCAGCATATCTTGATGAGGGATATTATCCTTATAAAAGAGAACAACAGCAATTTCATATTTATTTCCTGCTTAGACTGTAAATGCAAAACAGTGTATACTAAAATATTGCGGTATTATTGGCAGACCTTGATGATTATTCTTCATCTAAAATCGGGGAACAAGACCTATAATTGCGAAGTGATGACCAGAGTTCCAACTCTTCACAACAATAAAAAATAAATAAAGAGAGAGCAAGTAGAAAAATGGAATAATAATGAAAATAACTGAAAAAATAACATTTTAAAAAATATTTATGTTTTAAGTAAGGTTTTACACAAAAAGATCAATGTGAAGCCATCAGCTACAAACCTAAATCATTCAGAAATCTATTCACCATATTGGAAAAACCAATGCAACAGTTTGTTCTTAATTAAAAGTGAAACTCTTACATTCGGTTGTTAATTAATGCATTAGTACAGAGATAACAGTATAGACATCTTTGTAGCGGTCAGTCCATTCTTACAAACCTCTTTTCATAAAGGCCGACCAGCAGGGGTCAGTTTAGTCTCCTTACATCAATCTTGAGATCAAGAGTGCTCAGTCCTGGAGATTTACCTCCCTGCAGAGTTTAGTTCCATCACTAATCAAACAAACATGAACCAGTTTATCATTTCTTAGGGCTAAAAATTACAGTCAGGTGTGTTTTTGCTGCTTGGCATTAGAAGTTAGACCCCGCTAGTAAATGGAGTTGCTACACTGTGGAGTGGGAAATCTAACAAAGATGGCATGAACTTTGGGATGTCAATGGTGTCAAATCATCTCAGAGGTTCTACTCTCTTCTTCCTAGGTAGCAAGGAGGCTGCATTTACCTACGCCGTCACGGCAGCAGCTGTTGCCCACGCTGTGACAGCAGCCTGCAGTCAGGGCAAACTGAGCCACTGTGGCTGTGACAGAGAAAAACAGGGCTATCACGACCAGGAGGAGGGCTGGAAATGGGGCGGCTGCTCGGCAGACGTCAAATACGGAGTGGAATTCTCCAGGCGCTTTGTGGACGCCCGAGAGATAAAAAAAAACGCAAGGAGACTAATGAACCTGCACAATAGCGAAGCAGGAAGAAAGGTATGGAAGAAAAGTTGTGTAGAGTAGTATACATATACACATCTATATACAAAATTTAATTAAAGAATTACCATGTTTTCATGTGATTTAGTTAATAGAAACCATGAACTGTGATACACTGCTTTTAAACAGAGGGATTAAAGACTTAAGGGGTAAAAACATAGGAACATTACTACTGAATCTCAAATCCTTCTCATTGAAGGGGAATATTAACATTTAAATAAACATGTAAATGTCAACTATCACGTACCGCTGTCTGTTGAACATATCAGTAACACATCAAACAGCCAAATAGTTCTGCTTTTAACTCTAATGTAACCAAATACATAAATGGGGACTTGAGAATTATGGACATTTCTCTCTCGTTCTTTGATGTGGCCCTTAGGAAGGTAGAGAAAATTACAGGGTATGATTTGGCTAAAACATATTTTTGACAGATATCTGGCATCGCACATTGAAACATTGCTCAGGACGTATTGAATAATGGGTTTTGGTTCAAATTGCTGAAAACAGTCAAAATAAAATGTCAAGAACACTCGCACCACAGCTTCAGAGGCCTCTGATGAAGTCATGCCCATTGTACAATACTATGCGAGGCTTACTAGGAAATAAAAACCAAATAAACCACTTTTTTTTTTTAAATGTGAAATATAATATTCAGGATTGTTACAATACATATATATATATATATATATATATATATATACATATATATATATATATATATAGCATGATTTTTAGTAAAGGTCTGAGCATTGCAAATAAATATAAAATATAGCATAAAAATGTTAGCAATATAATAAATTTTTAATTGATGTCTGAATATTGTAAACAAATTTAAGTAATAAAGCACTATAAATTGCTAACAATTTATCTTTGTATTTTAAGTTTTAAAAATTATATTTTACATTACATTTATAATTATAATTACATTTTACAATTGTATTTTACATTACACACATTACTGCACAAAATTACAAATAAAAGTAATAAAACAATGTATACATTTATTTAATTTTATAAGTCAATATATGAGTGCTGGGTAATGATTAATCGCGATTAATCGCATCCAAAATAAAAGTTTTTGTTTATGTAATACAGTATATGTGTGTGTACTCTGTATATTTATTATGTATATATAAAGACATTCACATACAGTATATATTTTGAAAATATTTACATGTATTCACATGTATAAATTTATATTCATATAATTTATATTATATATATAAAAAAAAATTATATGAAAACATAACATATTTTAAGTGTGTATGTATATATACATAATAAATATACACAGTACACACACATATATTATATACACATAATCTTTTATTTTGTATGCGATTAATCGTGTTTAATTGTTGCCCAGCACTACAATATATACATTACCTTTCATTTCTAAAACAAAGCAGAATCATTTGGTAACACTGGGTTTTTCTCTACTGTTGCAGGTTCTAGAGGAACGGATGAAGCTGGAATGTAAATGCCATGGTGTCTCCGGCTCATGTACCACAAAAACCTGTTGGACGACTCTGCCGAAATTCCGAGAGATCGGCTACGTCCTTAAGGAGCGTTATGCCACTGCAGTCGAGGTGGAGGCCGTGAGAGCCACGCGTTTTCGCCAACCGTCTTTCCTGCGTCTCAAGCAGTCCCGTGGGTACATAAAACCCACGGACACAGACTTGGTTTACTTGGAGCGCTCGCCCAACTATTGTGAGGAGGATGCTGCGACGGGGAGCGCAGGAACGAGAGGGCGGCTGTGTAACCACACATCCCCTCACACGGATGGCTGCAACCTGATGTGCTGCGGCCGGGGCCACAACACCCATCAGTACACACGCGTGTGGCAGTGCAACTGCAAGTTCCAGTGGTGCTGCTTCGTTAAGTGTAACACCTGCAGTGAAAAGACGGAGGTGTTTACCTGTAAATGAGCGAGTGGTAGAGTTAAAAGGACAAGAAAGAAAGGCGAGAAGCCAATGGATAGAAACAGGAAGTGTTTGAAACAGAAATGGAAGTGGCTTCATTTTGCACATCAGGCAGTCTTTATGCAAGAAAGCCCCGCTGAAGAAGACTATGATGAATAATGAAGATGCCGGAACTTCAGAGGAAAATGCACTGACCTCAGACTGACTTTTTGTGAATTCATGCAAACATATGGACGCAACATATGCAGTGCAAGGCTTTTGTAGATCTCAGATTATAGAAAGTCAGCTGGGACCTGTCCTGAGGACCACGTATTGACTCAATACTCCTATTGGACAGTCTAAACTGCCCACAGAAGTGACCTTTTTCAAATTAAGGCAAGAAGAACTTGTAAAATGTCCCACCAGCTGAGCACCTATGGGAGTTCAAGAGGAAAAACGTGCTGCAACTTTGCAACTCTGGAAATGCTGGAAAGCTTCAGTCACACTGTATCTGTTTGAACACTGAAAAACATGACCTTTTTCCTTCTCTTTGGAGAAAAAGTCTGAATATATATTCATACTGTAGATGTCTCCTAATGGTACACAAAAGTATGAACTTCTAATATTATTGCTACTGATCTGTTGCTTCCAAAACTCACCCCAAAACAGTATAGGACATTGCGTATGTAAAAAGAGCTTATTTTGCAGTTTACAGATTAAGAAAAAGGGTCAACTCATTTATACACTTAAGAAACCATAATTTTGGTGAATACGTTGCCAATTGCTGCACTGGTGGGCTTTAAGTAAACAAAAACCGTTTGTGTTTTTAATGAGAAGAGAAGCTTCATTAGTCATCGATAAAGACTTGGCCATGTATGCTGCAATGCTCTAAACGTGAGTGTGTAAACATGTGGGAACGAAAGAGAGAGAGAGCTTTTACATACTTAATAGAAATGTGACCCACCACCGTTTGAGTGACCAAACCATTCCCACGAATGCCAGAGACATGGGATTCCACATCACTGCTCCGGTGTGCACAAGGTCTAGTTATATTCCGCCTGAGCCAATGGACCATACCAGCTATGGGTCTAAAAACGGTTGCAAGGTCACCAGAAATATTTTGAGTAGCAGTTTTTTTTTTATCTAATTGTTTATACGAGTTATATGGCTGATAAATTTGTTAAAATATATTTTTTTATGTAGAGAATATGGCACTTTATGTTAGATATATTCAGTGTAATTATTAATACTGTTTTATTCATCATGTTTTTATTGTTTAAGTTTAATTATGTAAGCTTTTATTTTAAATGACTTTTCCTGAATTCAAGTTTGATATGAAACCATCTCATCTTTTTGTTGCCTGGATGTATTTATACTTTTTTTGGCAAAGATTTACACTAAAATCGCTAGATAAATAATGAATCAAACATTTGGATAAAATACATCAAACTGTGGTCATTTGAATTCATCTTATTACCAAGCAAAATGATGCCATATTGTTAAACGCACATCAACAACTCGGAAAGTTCCCAGAAGCACCAAGCGGCTCATAGTTGTGGGTGTAGATACTGCGAAACGCTGATCTCGGAGTGACACAGAGCTCTTTCCCACCTGGGTTTGAATAGGCATCCGACCTGGCTCATTCATTCACCCGCCGTAAGCTCTCTGCCCCTCTGGTCTTTTTCCTGTGGGTGAAAAGCATTGCAGGCAGCCACCGAAGCAGAAGTAAACTGGACCTGTTTTGTTAGCCGTCTGAACTGCTGGGTACCGGAACCGCGTAAGCTCCCAACACTATACCCCGGATTGAGAGAAAAGTCAACCCCGATTGTTTCGCACAAACATTCTGTCATTAAAAAATATGAGGCAGAAAAAACAGGGTGTGGTGGGGAGAGCAGAGGCCTCCACAGAGGGGTATTAATGCTACGGGGGGGTGTGTGTATGTGTGGACCACTCAGCTCATTCCAGAATGGGACGGGGCGAGATGTGATTCTGCAAGCTAATACTTCTGGTCTGATTCACGTAGGACAAACTAAGGGCATAACCAGATGACCACGAGAGCAAAAAAGTGGTGTGGGATAGACCGAGGGAGAGAAAGACCTGATGACTGATTTCTGGTCTGTATGAGAGAGGTTGCTTTTCTAATGTCTAATGTTCTAATGTATATTAGGCTGGACAGTACAATCACAATCAACAAGAATCTAGGGACACTCTTCCTAAAATAGAAAAGCAGCTAGTTATATGTGTAAAGACCAACTGATACTGTTTTTTAAAAGTATGCAGAGTATAAATTCTGTTGTAAAGAAAACATGTTGTTTACAAAATTTAATTATTTGATTTATCATCATGAACATATTTAGTTTGTATCAAGTTAATGGTGGAGGTTTTCTACTCGATATTTAAATTATAAGAGAATTTTGTATATATGACAGTAAAGACTATTACATTGATACAAAAAAATATATTGATGTAACAAATTCTGTTATTTCTTTTGAACTTTCTATTCATCAAAGAATCCTGAAAAAAAATGTATCAGTTTCCACAAAAATATTAAGCAGCTCAGCTGTTCATAATGATAATACATGTTTCTTGAGCACCAAATCAGTATATTAGAATGATTTCTGAAGGATCAAGTGACACTGACGACTCATATTTGTGGGTGTAGATACTGTGAAACGCTGAAATGATGCTGAAAATTCAGCTTTGCTATCACAGGGATAAATTACATTTTAAGATATATTAAAATAGAAAGCAGTTATTTTAAATTGCAATAATATTTCAACATATTACCGTTTTTAATCAAATAAATGTAGCCTTGGTGACATGCTTCTTTCAAAAACATTCAAACTGAACCCAAACTTTTATATAGTTATGCATACTTTTAAAATAAATGTTCTAATTTTCAAAACGATTTAGCTGTTTTGAACACTTTTCAGTAGTACGTGATCTTGGTATGTGTAGTTTGTCAAAGCTTCTTGCCTGTAATGGGATCTGGCTACAGATTCACACAAAACATAAGTGTGGAATTGCTCTTTAAATAAATAAATACAAAATTGGATACTACGGAACGTACACAAAGGTAATTGCGTTGTGTTATTTTATTATAATACATGCACTAAATAGACAGCTCTATCATACAGCAATCTCCAACTACCAAGCTACACGGGAAGTTTGTTCAAATATTAGGGGAATTGTTGAAATTGCACGGCTTTGTAAACAAACCCGATTTAAAGCACAAAATCTTAAGTCAGCTTTCAAAAAGAAGGATCCGAGTCTCACGGCTATTCAGAGATGAACTTTACGTGTACAGATCAAGAGGCGGCCTGGTCTCTATAAAATGCACTGAATTAGGGATTAACCTCTACTCCCTGTTGGTCACCAGAGTCTCTTTAGTGGCTGAAAAGCCAGGAAGACACGGTTCTCCTTGTTTCATAGGATTTGAATCCCACTTGGGGGGGGGGGTTGGAATCAAAGACCACTAAATGCATCACAGACATCAGCATGAGTCCTCTCAGATAAGCTCCTCTGATTGATTTCCTCTTGTGTGGAGAACACAAAGCCCAGACCAACCCCTTTGTGCTGCCAACTACTGATTGGATATTTAATGGCCCCAGTGTGTTGTGGGCATTTTAAGCCATCTCCAGAGTGTAATATAGCATGGTAAAGGGGTGTGGGGATGGGCATCCCGGGCTCTACTTAATCAACTATGGGTCCTTCTTTAGGGGCCTAAGCAGTAGACTGCCATCCCTTTCTTCCACTCTGAAGCCCATTTCTCTGAGCATCATGTCGTCTGCCACACCTTGTCTCCGAAGACCTTGTATCAGCTTCTGATTATCTAGGTTGTGTTCCAGGATGTTCCGGATGGCAAACACAGCCCACTGGCTTATGACTGGAAAAAAATATTAAGGAAAGTTATTGTTTTGCTATGTGGTTGTCAGGGTGTTCTTGTTGGTTTAATGCCAAAAAAGCCCACCAAAAAGTCTCCATGATATTCTGGTCTCTATATGTGGTTAAGGAACTACCTTCAACATAACTTCGCCAATTTTATCATCAATCAGGATGCAAATTCGATCACTGTCAAAGTTTATACTAAGGGCATGGATGCACAATATATTGGTAGATCAGTATATCACATAATATTTTATCAAAATTTTGCCCATACCAGAAGTGAAGCTAGCAACACCAGGTCCAGCAGCCACACTAAACAGTAAGCAACAATGACAACGTCCTAAAAACTGTCAGGAAACAGCGTCCGGGAGGACACGAGCTCAGCTTAGCGGCTCATCCCCTAGTGAAAGAGCAGCTGGCGCTGTGCCCTGCTCTCTCTAATACACACCGGCAGTGGTCGCTAGAGAATGAAAGCGTTTTTTTAACAACAGTGCCAGCATCAGTCAAGGATCCTTTGGAAACACAGCTGCAATACATCAGATTGTCGTGTTATCAATGAACCCTTTCATATGGAACAGAGTTGGCAGGATGCAGGTCAACACTATAAAAATACAAAATGTCACTTAATTTTATTCAAGTGGTGATTTTCCACCCAGGATTTCAATCAAGTTTTCCATAAAGTGTTGCACATCTATAAAACTGACTTCTGTCAACACCACAAAATTACTCATTTATGCAATACCTACTTTTAGCTTCAGAAACTATTATGACTAGATATTTTACACAAGGAGACACAAGGAGAAATGTTCGTGAGTCAGCCCAACAGTCCCACCTCTCTACAGGGGACGTTGCTAGGTGGAGGGACATAAAATCATTGGGCAAGATGCTGGCTTTGCTCTAATAACATCTCAACCGCGTTTTCAACTCTGAACAAGCCACCAATCATTCAAACTTCAAACGTTGTGGTAAAAACTCCATTAGTAATGGAATTTAAGGGGGTATTACAATGCTATCCACACTTTAGATAGCAATATCTTTGCATTTTTTGTGGCGGTATTCACAAAACAAGAAAACCCTCACTAAATACACCACAAAAGCACAGAGTGAATGGAATCACGACCAAGGATACAGGGGTTGTTGCTGTCAATGCTGCAGTTGTCCAGAATGAGAGCTATACCATCCAGTTCTCTTACCTATAGGAGACAAATGGAAAAAACAAGGAAAATGGTCTATAACAGGGACATCGTGAGCCAGACTGGTCAGAAAACAATTACTTTCCCTGGAGGAAAGTCCATGCGGTTGAGCTCTGGTTTGGCGCAATCATACGAGTTTGCGCTGATTTTCGTCACATGCAGTCTCTAACTATACCGTACATTACCCTGAGTATGTATCGTAACCCAAGAGCTACAGCAGTTGCCCTTGTTCCTTTAAAAAAAATGAATAAGAAAGAGGAGACACAAACCCTGACAATTTTCTGCTGCTAATGACTAGCATGGCGTTTGATTGAGAAAGTAGTGCTAGCAATAAAACGAAGGGAAACTTATGTGACCGTACGCTTCGGCCACAGAATTAGTTTTGTTTGGCTATCCTCACATGTAGTGGACTACTGCAACGGCAGCATTTTAAGGCATCAGCACTACTGATCCTACACTTAACTGTACTGCCACCTAAGACACTTTCTTGTAGCAAAGTAAAGACTGAAAAAATCCAAAACAACAGACAAGGGGAGACAAACGTAGTTCAAAATGTTGACAAATACATTTAAAGTTAATATTTTTATAATATATTTGTGTTTAACGTATTGTTATGCTTATTTGAGTCAGCTATTAGCAGTGGCAACATAACACTAAACTTTAAGAAGTGGTCTAGAGACACAGAATTTTTAAAGTTGACCACGTTTTAACTCAACTATCGAACTATCAAACACCCGTCTTGAAAAGCAGTGCAGTGGAATGCAAAAATGCATTCTGAGTGAACGGCCCATTAGAAAGCAGCAACGGGAGCCGTGCGCTTTTACAAGGTTTTGGAACAAGGTTTTTGGTCAAAAAATGAGGGTGCAGGCTGGGGAGACTTGCTATTGTTTTTTGACCTTTGACCTCTCAGTTGTGTGCCTTGACCCTATTTAAGAAGGCCGGTACTAGGTTCTCCTCTGTGCTGATTGAAGGGGACCGACCTGAAAGCCTGAAAATCCCTCCTTCGCAGGAGGCTGCTTACAAGAGAATTCATTAAAAAGAAAAAAAAAGTAGAAAGGGAACAAAGTGGGAAAAGATCTGGGGAAGAAACGAGATGATACAAGCATGAAATTCAGAATGGTTCTCGGGTCTTTATCTACCAGCGTTAATCCCCTGATTAGTTTTCAAGGAGGGAGCTTCGACAAACAAAAAGCCCA